AAAACATTCTAAATACATAAAACACTAATTATAAAAGAACAATACAAAACAATAGTAACAAAAAAAAAATCAAAGTTTATCAATACACTAATCTAAAATATGTTGATGCTTAACAATTACTATTATTTTACCTCATAAATTATGGAACGATGATCCCGCAAGCCTTGGATTCAAGATATAGTGTCGACACATGTATTCTCTATGACTTGATGAATATGTCGCCAACATGATTTTGAGATGTTTTTGAGATTGAATAATATTTGAGAGCAATGTTTTGAGAGAATTAAGTGTTGTGAAAAAATAGTGAAAGAAAGTATGTTTTTATAGTATTAGGAGATAAAACGTTACAAAACTCTTGTAATTCTATTATAAATTGTAATTAAAGAAAATAATTTAATTTAATAGGGCGAAAAACCTTTTGTATTCTAACCTTGTTTAGATCATTGATATTTATTATTATATTATTATTGATAATTAATAATCAATAATTAATTTAATATTTATAATAAATTATTAATAACATAATTTGTAAATTAATAAATTAAGAAAGGGACAAAAGCGTCCAAAAATGTTACTCCGAGATCCTCCCATTTTAATATAGTATAGATTACCTAATTATTCAACCCTTTCCATCACAATAATTTTATTGTTTTTCTATTCATGGTAGGCTTTTGTATTAGCTTGTTCTATTATTTATTTGACATCGTGGTGGCACTTTACGGTGTTAACGTAGTTGTAAGAGGCTTGAGTCATGAAATCCAAGATCTAGGTTCGAGCCCTCCTGACTATGGTGTCTTGTCCTCTAAACCACATGTGTGTCTTTGGATTTATTTCCTCAATTGTTCACTGTTTTTGTTTCTTAGTACAAATTTGTTCTTGTTTCTGTTTCTCATTTTTAATAAAGAAAAATAGAATTGCATGGTTTCAATCGGCCTAAATCCAAGAATGATAAAACAATATTTTTATTTATGTTTTGGAACAAATTGAAAACGGAAACGAAAAATAAGGGAATTTGTCCAAAATTTCTAAAATCCCATACAAACTCAATCTCTTGTTTTTGCTGTTTCCAAAGTTTCAAGAATATTTCTAAAAAACGAGAAATGAGAAACATAGTATACTTGTAAAATTCTTAAGTATCGTAATAAAATTGGAAACAAGAAACGAAAACATTACCAAATGGACCCAGATGAACCAAAATGATCACTTTTTAATAGTACATGGACCAAATCGAACGTTCCCGAAATAAAAGGACTAAAATAAATAAAAATTGAAAATATAGAACCAAAATAGACATTTTGAAAGTATAGAACCTAAAATGAACTAAAGTAACTAAAATAATATTTAAACCTCTAAATTGTACATGTATATATATATATTTATTTACTTATTTATTTATTTAATAGGATAGTAGATGCCTTGCGTGTGTAAAACTATAGTTTAAAAAATTTGAAGAGACAAATTTCAAACCGCCCATTATTTTTTTAATTTCCATTCTTAGAACAAATTAATTATAGGAGAAAAAGGATATTAAAATAAAATTCATCTTAATTGAAGCATCTCATGGTTGAATAATGAAGACATGTAGAGGAAAAATATTTGCAATGAACGTCACAACCCTTTTGTTTTTGCTATTCAGTCCTCCAATTGATGGTGATGGTGATGTGACCATAAAGTATTGTGTACTTTTAAATTTGAAGTATTCATTATTTTAAATTAGCCCATGGTAAATATTTAACCAAATATATTACTAAAATAATACAAATTAACAAATATGAAATTAGGCCAACCAGAGCATAGCTCAAATGGTTAAGACACCTATCTCTAACCAGAAGGTCATAAGTTCGAATAGAACGAGTAAAAGAAATGTAGGAGAGGAGAAGGAAGAGAGGAAGACGAGAAAATAGAATAAAGAATAACAAATTTTTGCTAAATCATTTTATAAATATACTACATTATCATTTTGTTGGGATAAATTAGAAATCAAGCTCAAACTTTAGCGATCAATTAAAAACTAAATTCAAAAATTTCAAGGACAAAACATGTCCCTTTTGAAATTTTAAAAATCGAATTGAAACTAAATTTAAATCTCATAAACAAAATAATTTTTTAAACTTGGGAACCAAATAGAAACCAAGTCCAAACCTAAGAGATCAAAAGTATATTTTGATGATTTTTTTTCAATAAATGTAGGATGAGATAGAACCTTCAAATTACAAAAAGTTTAGTTATTTAATTAAACTATAGTTAAATTAGTGCAAAACTTCTATTTAAACACACCTTACTAACATATTATTCAACTATAACATGTGATAATTAAGGCTGAAAAGTTGCGTAGAATATATGGTCTAGACAGTTAAATTCTATTTTAGACTCTTACTTTCGAAGATTATTTCATTTTGGTTTTTAAAAATTCATTTGTTAACATTCTCGCTTCTTGTTACTAAAAAGAAATAATTGCATCGGTTCAGCACCCATGAATTCAAGAATATTGATAAAACAATATTTTTATTTATCTTTTGAAACCAATTGGAAACGATTGATTTTGTTGTTTCCAAAATTTCTAAAAAAAACGTAGGAAATATTACCACATGTTAGCTTAGGTTTTTTAATAAATTAAAAACGAAAAACAAGAAACAGAAACGTTGATAAATGAGCCCTAAACTTTCATAAATATCTATTTCAGTCTCTAAATGTTAAAAATAATAATTATTTTAGTCATGTTTTATTATTTTAATCAAGCCATGTGCTCAGCTTGATTAAAAAAAAAGTACTTTGACTAAGAGAATCAATAGTTCAACGATAATTAGCACGTACTTCTCTCGAGATCGAAAGTTTGATCCCTTACATCTCCAAATTGTTATACTAAAAAAAAATCAAACTACATGATTCTTACACATATAGCTTTGGAGTTTCTCGTGAATAGGCCACAAGATCCCTTTCATTCCAATATAATAATGTCAGTTCATATTCGTGTGTCCCACCGCTCAGCCATCACTAAGACTTAATTGGCTCATCATCTGATGCAGAACGGATTTCATTCCCTGTTTCGAGTCTCACTCCCACCTATTCCTACCTCGTGTGTCCTACCGCTCAGCCATCACTAAGACTTAATTAGAAGAGAAAATATATATATATATATATATACACACACAAATAAAAGAGTATACTATTGTGGTGTTGGTCCTAGAAACTCTAACGATTAGGTTAGTGAGAAATCAGATCAAGAACGTGAGAATGTGCAATACATTTTGTCCACATTTAACCTTTCTTAAATAGTCGATGTTAACTCAAAGTTTTATGATGCTAGAATTCTAAAGATCATTGGTGAATCGTACGGGATAAGTTCGTCGATGTGATCTCTCCACAAGCCTCATTGATAGTAAAGGTTGAAAAACTTTTAAAAACTACTTACATCGAACATATAAGTCTGTGAATTTATGATCAATTTGAAAGGTTGATCTGTTCGAGAATCTTTAGCAAAATGATAAGTTAGAAGACTTTATATGCAAAAATGGATAAATTTTGGGTCATAGGTGAGTTTGCTAATGTGCTTGGGTATTGGAAAATGGTTCAATGTCTGTGGATGAGAGACCATGACTCCTTTAAAGGATCAAAATTTCATGCACGTAAAACATCTATATAATTTAATCTCATCTCAGTATTCCACGTAAACACAACAATCATCACGAGTGGCTTATTAGTCCACTAATCTAAGATAAATCAAAAAGATATATATTCCGTTTGGCATTAAGAATTCGAATGTAATGATTTCAAATTCCACTATTTTAAATTACGAAAATTGATTTCGAATTTTTAATGGTGCTGGGACCAACAAATTTGGATGGATTTCAAATCAGTAAAAAAAAATAAAAAAGTTGTGTTTGAAAGATAGGCAGAAATTGAAAATAAAGTATTTATTTTACCATTATGCCATTGTAATTATTTATAATTTTTTAGAACAAAATCTTAATGACTCTATCCTTCCTCGCCCTCCATTTTTTTTCTCCCCCGTCTTTCTTCATCTCCCTTCTCTTTCTTTTCCTCATACCGTCTTCTCCATTTTCTTTCCTCTCTTTTTATCTCATCTCATGATCCATTTCTCTTTCTATATATTTCTCCCTTTTTTTTTTCTCCTTTTTGCACCTTCTTTTCCATTTTCTTTTTTCTTCCTCTTTTTAACTCACCTCATTATCTGCACCTTCGTACACTAATGTAGCACTACCTCCATCTATAACTAGCGAAAGCATATCATAGAATTTTCTTCTTTCTTTTTTTCTTCAATTTAATTTCCTCAATTTAACTGATTGTAAGGGTAAAATTGCAATGTAGTTAACAATCCTATCAAATCCGACCTATTTTGGATGGAAATTTTTTTAGGACAAAACGAGATTTCAAATTCCATTATTTTAATTTCAACCAAACACGGGGAATGATTTTAACATCATTCTATCTTGTAAATCTAAGATTCCAAAGTAGGGGTTATAAGGAATTGATTCGCACATTAACCATACATATAAAAATGAAATATTCTTAAATATATAAACTCACTACCTAAACTCTATGTCCATAATTCAAATCTCAAACCCCACTGCACTTTTTTTTTAAGTATATATTGGGGAGGGGATTCGAATTCGCAACAAGATTGGAGGTATACGTCAATTACTGCTGAATTATGTCCATAATTCAAATCTCAAACCCCACTTGATTTTTTTTTTTTTTTTGAGTACATATTGGAGAGGGGATTCGAACTCACAACAAAGTTTGGGATATATGTTAATTACTGTTAAGCTATGCTCGTTTTGGCCCCTACTTGTATTTCAATACACACATATACATATAATAAAATGGAAGAACACACACAAGTCACAACCAATTAAAAAATGTGAAAGAACAAAGAAAAAAGTCCACAAAAATGATTAATGATGAGTAACAAAAGCCTCCATAGTCTCCCTTTATATTGGCCAACTCCCAACACTATCATCAACCCTTGTCTCCCTCTTTTCCCCCTTCTAGCTTCCTCACCATTTCCCTCTCTCTCTCCTCTCTCCTCTCTCCTCTCTCTCCCTAAAAAAATACCCAAATGAAATGAAGATTCTTTCTCCACTCCCTCTCCACTAATCAACATCTTTTCATTTTCTCTCTCTCCTCTTCTTCTTTCTCTCTCATCTCGCCATGTCCACCCTCCAAAGAACCAGAAGCTGCAGCGCCGCCATTAAAACCACCACAAAGATCACCCCTGCAGCCTCCCTCTCCGGCCACCACCACCGCCACCGCCACGTCAGATCCTCCTCCTCCTCCGACGGATTTTCCGGCAACTTGCTCCTCCAGAAGAAGTCCGGCGACCACCACCACCACCCAGCTGGGAAATTCTCCTCCCTCTTCCACTCCCTTCTCAGGCTTCTCTCCATTCCCACCTGTAAATGGCTCTCCATCCCCAACCACCTCTCCGCCACCCCCTCTCTCCGCCGTAAAGTCACCGGAACTCTCTTCGGTCACCGCCGCGGCCATGTCACCTTCGCCGTCCAACTCGAACCCCGGTCTGAACCTGTCTTCCTGCTCGAGTTGGCCGTCTCGACCGCCTCCCTCGTCAAGGAAATGTCCTCCGGACTCGTCCGCATCGCTCTCGAGTCCGAAGCTCCGGCCAATGAAGGTAAAATTTCTTTTACCAGATAAATTTAATTCATTTATGAATATAACCTCTGATTCAATACGATGATAAATCTTAATAAATTTAATTCATTTATCTTAGTAGAGTTCAGAACACATATCTCAATAGAAAATACATGTCTTAACTAATATTTTTTATTATAATTTTAATCAAATCAAATTTTAGAAGGTTCGTTTTTTTTTTTACTAAAAAAGAATTTAAAATATTTATTTTAGTCCAAGAGAAGAAAAAAAACAATCATTTTAGTTGTTTATCATGTAAATATACCTATTTTCTTCCCAAAAAAAAAAGGAAAGAATGGAGCCTTGCCCCTCTTAGTTGACTTATATTTTAAAAAAATAAAATTAAGACTTTTTTTTCTCTGATTTAATTTGTCTCTTAAATTTCAAGAATTGAAGAATTATGGGCACGAAAGATAAGAAGGCAAGATTTTTGCCCTCCCCATAAAATAGTCCTTAGGTGGCTTTGGAATTAGAATCAAAGTTTAAGATCAAAATAAAATGAACTGAAAAATTTAATATTTTTTTTAGTTCAACCATTGAGTTGAAGATTCAAACTTCTAACATTTTAATCGAAAATATATATCTCAACGAGTTGAATTATCTTCCGTTGACCTAATTTTTTTTTTTATTTACTTTTCTAACAGTTCTCTTATTTGTGACAATACCAATATTTCTTTCTTTAAATGACATTATAAAAGTTGGAATCAAGTTCATATATATAAACTAAATTTAAATTAAAAGACTTAAGATGTGGTTTGCTACTCACCCATTTTGTTTTTAGTTTTCCCTTTTTAGAAATTTTGCTTGTTTTTTGCCATTTTATTCATCTCTTTAATGTTGTGTTCGGTACCTGAGGGATTTAAAAATCACGGATATTTCAAACTAATTATGTTGTTTGGTACCTCGTGATTGGGAATTATTTGAAATCTTGTTTTTACTTTGAAATTTTCTGGATTAAGATGGTCGATTTTGTAGGATTTAATCAAATTTAAAAGTAAATTATTTATTTAACTTTGTCAATAGTTTGATTTCTAATTAATAAATTTAACTTGAAAACCTAAATCAGTAAAATTTTTATTTTATTTTCCTTTCTAGGAAACATCCAAACAAATAAATTTAATTTACTTCATTTCGGATCATTTTGATTCCAAACAAGATAAAAAAATTTTAAATCATTTAACAGGTTTCAAATCCCATAATTTAAAATTATTTTTTGAACTCCCTCGAAACAGAGGATAAAAAGCATATTTAATTTTTTTCTAACTTGGCCTTAATTTTAAAAATATTTATTAAAATTATATAACAAAATATATGGGATGGAAATGATGTTTTAAACTTAATTTTTCAAAATATAAGACGAAAAACAAAATAATTATCAAACATATAAATAAATAAATTAATTAATTTAATTGATATTGTTGATAGACGGGCGGCGGAGGCTGTTTGAGGAGCCGAGATGGACGATGTACTGCAACGGGAGGAAGTGCGGACACGCCACGTCACGCACGTGCGGAGACTTTGAGTGGCACGTGCTGAACACCGTCCAGAGCGTGTCGGTCGGCGCCGGAGTTATTCCGGTGGTCGACGACGGCCGTAAAGGCGGCGGCGGCTGCGGGTCGGACGGCGAGTTACTGTACATGAGAGCAAGGTTCGAGCGAGTCGTAGGTAGCCATGACTCGGAAGCTTTTTACATGATGAACCCCGACGGTAATGGAGGACCTGAACTCAGTATTTTTCTACTCAGAATATAAATAAAATATCCATAAGTAATTATGGGTTAAATTTAAATTTTTGTTTAGGACTCTTTTTTTTAGATTAAATGTATAATTTAGTGTCTAATGTTACTGTTAAATTGCCAAATTCGTCCATATTTTTATAGGTTGAATTTAGTTTCTATAATTTTATAATTTTAAAATTTTCAATATTGTAGTTATAGTGATTTGAAGTTAGTATTAATTTGGTTTAAAATGTTAATTTAATCTATATGTGATCATACTGAATATATGATATATAGGTTCTATTTACGTGGCAAGGAGCTAGAGATGATATTTTCTACGTAGCTAAGTGTATTAGCAGATTGACATATTAAATTTAAGGTCGAGGTATATATAAAATGAAAACTTTAATGTCGTTAATTCACATTGTCATTTTTGCAAATGTGTAGCAACACAATCATGATTTTGTAACAACTTATCAAAATTTTATGTACGTCTACATCTTTTCCACCTCCGTATATCTATCAATAGATGCCTAAGAAAGTTAATAATTTATTACTAATAGACGTCTATTAGTGTCTATCAATGAAGATATTTATAATTGTGATATGATTAGTCTATCTCTAATAGACTGACGTAGGTTAGTGATACACGTGTGGGGTTGAGATATTGTGGGAGTAATAAACTACTGCTAGTTTCAAGGCTATTAATATTGTTACTATATTTACAATTAATTAAGTTTGGTACTGTCATATATGCAAAAATTAACGTGAGCTTAATTCAACTGGTTAAAATATCTATTTTCAACTAAAATGATGTGAGTTTTCTTATATATTCTTATATTAAAAAAATGTCTATTAAAATATTTCAATGTCAGTCCATATATGTTATGGTTCTTTTTATTGATATTATATATTTTAACAATATTTTTAAAAGAACAATTAAAAAAATATGTCCACTTTTAAAAAGTATTTAAAAGAATATAATAATTTGGGTAATGTAATAACCTCAAGGTCAAAGATATCACACAGTCCACTATGAATCTTGGAGCTGAATCAGCGAGAGACCATCACTGGAAATTTCTTGATAAATAGGAGGAGACGAGACTTAAATCAAAGATAGACAACTAAAATGGCCCGAGACTTAAGGGAACTCCCTCGATAAAATAGGAGACGTTTTCACAAACTCATTCTGTGTTAAGCTCAACTTATACCATTATCTAACTTATGCATTGGAAGGTTTGGACTTAGTGCCAATACCAGTGTACAAATCTTATTATTTAAGCAGGAGCTTGTTTAAAGCATTCGACTTTACGACCTGAATTTAATCCCGCATTGACATTCGGTGGCGTTTTGTGGGAAAAGATTTAAGCAATGCTCAATCCAACTTGCTCACCCACAAATCATTTTGAGGAAGAGGATGGGTAACACGACACATCAACGTTTCTCTAAGAAACTCAACTTGTCAAGCAGGAGAGTGGAGTCAAGCTCAAACGCATTTAGAAGGAGAAGTGAGGCAAGGTAGCCCTATGTTTGGAATGTCTACTCGAGCAAATCGATCAGTTGTGTACTGAAGATATCGTTGAGGTTAAGACACTACCTAAGTTCAAATTGCCATATTGTAGCACCTCTAGGACAAAAGTAGTTAAGCTCCACTATATCGTAAAAGTTGAGTTGAAACCAGCATGAGTAGGGAAGAGTGCATAGACGCAAGCCAAAAATTACAAACGAGCCAACCCAACCAAGGAGACCTCATCAAGGACTTGGTTAGAGGCCAAGAAGGTTCAGAACTATTATGCCGAGCATATTAAGGAGGCCTCATCGAAGACTTAGTCAAAGGCATAGGAAAACTTATAACCTTTAAGTTGATCCGACAGAAAGATCTCATCAAAGGCTTAATCAGAAGTAGAAGAAAAGTTGAACCATTAGGTTGAGCAGATCAAGTAGATCTCATCATAGACTTGTTTAGAGGCAAAAGAAAACTTAGAAAATCTAGTCGAGCTGGCAAAAAGATTTCGTTTACAACAGAGAGATCTCATCGAGGAGTTGGTTGGGAGTAGAGGAAGAGTTGGAAGTCCTCAGCCAAGCCGACCAATAAGACTTCATTGAGGAGTTAGTTGGAGGTAGAAGAAAAGTTAAACATCTAAGCTAAGCAAACTATTGAGACCTCATCGAGGACTTATTCAAAGGCAAAGGAAAACTCATAATCTCAAAGCTAAACTGACAAAAGAACCTCATCGACGACTTATACGAAGGTAGAGGAAAAGTGGAACCTCTAGGATAAGCAAATGAGACCTCATTGAGGACTTGATTGGAGGCATTAGAATAGGCGAAGCCTTTAAACCATACCGATCAAGGAGATCGAACATTTGGCCCGAGGTAAAAGAATAAATGAAGCTTCTAAGTTGAGTCAACTAGTGACACCTTATTTGGAGCACTAAGTTGAATCGAACGAGAATACTTAATTGAGAACTTGTTTGAGGCATAGGAAAAGTTGGAGCCTCTTGACCAAATCGACCAGAATGACCTCAGTAGGAGGCTTGATCATGACAAAAGCTAAGCTTTTAGGCAAAGCAGACTAGGAAGACCTATTGTGAGGACTTTGGTTGCATGGAACTAGGTTAGAGAATAGCCTACTCAAATCTCCATAAGCCTCTCAAACTGACATATCTAAAGAGACCTCTGCGAGGACTTAGTCACAGTGGAAGCAAAAATAAATAATCCAATAATACAAAACTTAACTACTCCCAAGGAATCGAACATGCTCGATTGTTAGCCCAACTCAAGAATGAGGGCCACTGTTATGAGTGAATTTATCATATCTAGTTCGATTGAAAGAAGCCCCAAAGTGAACGACCAAGGCCGAAAGAATTTGGCTAGCTTGTTGGGCCAATCCAGCCAAGTCGACCACTAAGGCCCATAGGGCGAGATTGGCCCAACCAATGCTCCGGTTAAAAGGCCTTGACACTATAACACCGTTATAAGTCATGGATGCATCACTAAGAGTCTCACACGTCAACCGTCCTTCATGGATTTCAGAAGATGATCGTTAGAAATCAAAGATAGACAATTGAGGTGACACGAAAGATAAAAGAAATTACTTTATAATCAGTTGTCCTCTGCTCGAATTTTGGTGCAACTTTATAATCTGCATGCGTTTCTTGTGCTTGAAGGCTAAAAGAAGGAAAACCTTTGCAAAGAAGTAATATTTTAATAACACGCACGTATGCTTTTTCTTCACTTTCTTCCCCCAAAAGCTGAATAAGGTTAGAAACCAAGAAAATGTTATTCTTCAAATTTTTAATTTAAAACTAATATTATATAATTAAGGATAAATAAAATAAGGGCACTGTAGAAAAGCAAATATAAATAAGGGTTGTCAAATTGCCTAAATTTAAAATAAAACTCAAATCTTGGTTTTGTTCTTCTCATAGAAATTGCACTCTCAAAGTTTTTTTTTCTTTTCTTTTAATGTATTTTGACAATTTGGCATTTCTAGAAGTGAATTTGTTTTAGTACAACAAATTCGCGGTATCGAAGTTTTAACCTCCAATTTCAAAAGTTAGAGTAAATGTCAATTATTGCTAAGCTATACTCATGTTGGCAAAAATAAAATTGTGTATGTTATATTGTAGACTATTTATATAGAAATTAGGTTAAATATACAACGTTTCATGTTTTAGATAATTCTCGATTTGATCATTAATCTTGTGAAATTTTATTTATTAATAATTTCCAATTAAATCCCTTCATACAAAAAAAAAAGAATTTGTTAACAAAAAAATTGATGTATCATTAATTAATTATTGTTTTATTAATATATTTAGACACGTGGATATGTAATTTAATTACTAGAGATTTGAGATTCCATGACATTGAATTTAAGTCACAAATGGTTATATATGTGCATCTTTTTCCTTTTTTTTTTTTGAAAAAATTTGAGATTTACGAATTTTCTAACATTTATAACAGGTTTTCATCGTCACAAATTACATTAAAAATTTTGGGATTCCGAAAAAAGAAAACATCTCAATTGGTTATGAGCGCACTTTTTAGGAGAAAAAAATGAAAATTTACAAACTTTCTGACATTTATGATATTTTTTCACTGTTGTCGTTACGTTGATGATATTGAAATTTCATGAAAAAAAATGGGAATGGAAAATTTTAATTCTTTGAAAGTGTTTACTAAAATGTTAGGATCGCCAAACTTGGGAATCGTAATTTCATTCGTCTCCTACAGTTCCATCATTCTTTGTACATAGGTTCCATTTTCAATATTTACGTTTATTATTTTTCTCTCATCTATTGATGGTACTCATAATTCTTTAATTAATTGTTTTACAATTTTACTTCTTTTTTTTTTTAATACTTTCTTGGTTCATGCTATGAAAATAAAGGTATAAAACCCGTTCCTACACACGGGAAAAGGAAGAAAAAAGGGAAAAAGTAAAGGCGCGTTTTTTTTCCCTGGAAAAAACAAACGTGATTCATAGAAATTTTCTAAAAAAACATCAAACAAATAATATTTTCGTTCCCAAAGTTTGTAGGACGTTAATTTCCCCGTGAAAATTCGGGACTGTGCTTCCGAGAGCATCTATTCAATTGCTATCTGAGAAAATGGTGAATCTTGAGCTTCGAAATTTACCAACTATGTATCCTTTCAATAAAATCTCTAAAAATTGGGTTTGGGTTCGATTTTCTGTCTCTTATTTGTTTTCTGGATTTGGATGCAACAGGTTGCGAGGAAGCAAGCAACAAAGTTCTTCAGCAAAAAGAGATGACGAAGTTGAACCAAGAGAGAATTTGGCTTTTGGGTTTTTCTAAAAACAAGGTAAAACATGTGCAAACAATTTTTTGACATCAGAGGAATTCATCGATCCATATTCTAGTCTATTTTTTGGTCCAAAGCCTGAATTTTTGTGTCCTTGCGCTGCGGTGTTCTCAAATGATAAGAGCCACATCCATAGCTCTCTGTAATTGCTTGCTTCAAATTCACAAGGTTCGTTTGTCCCGATCTCTCACTTCATTCATACCCAGCAAGTTCTTTTTAACTTTTCAATCACCAGTAACTCTCAGATGCCGAAATAAGTGTACCACCATAAGCTTATCTTCCATTGACTGCTCTGGCATTGCACAATCTCTCATATCAAGGTGTTCAGTTTTGGTTGAGAAGGAAGGGAATGGCTCAGCATTGCCTAATCCTTCTCTCAAGGACTTTTTATTGGAGATATCTGATGTTGTACCAGAATATGCGCGTAAAATTAGGCGAATTTTGCAGTTAAAACCCGAAGACGTGCTTAAATTATTACTTGGGTTTCAATCAGAGGTTGGGAATAATGGGATTCAAGTTAAGAAAGTTGAGTGTTTGTGGAGCATTTTCAGGTTTGCTAATGAAAGTGGTAAGAACTTCAAGCATTTACCGAAGTCATGTGAGGTTATGGCCTCTATTCTCATCCGAGTTGGGAAGTTTAAAGAAGTCGAGCTCTTGCTTTCTGAGATGGAGATTCAAGGAATTTTATTGGATGATCCTGAAGTTTTCAATTGTTTAGTTCAAGGTTTCGTGGGTGAAGATAATCTAGAAGGGGCTCTCTTGATTTTTGGAAAAATGAGGCAGCAATGTATATCTCCATCATTGTCATGTTATCGTGTTTTGCTTGATTCTCTGATCCGGATGAAGAAGACGGAAGTAGCACTAGGGGTGTGTTTGGATATGGTGGAGATGGGATCTAGTTTGGGTGATGAAGAGAAGGCTGCTTTTGATAATGTTATTGGACTACTTTGTTGGCAGGGAAAGGTTCTTGGAGCTAGGAACCTTGTGAAGAAGTTTGTGGCTTCGGGCTTTATGCCTAGTGATAAGGTTCTTTATCAAATTACAAGGGGGTATTGTGAGAAGAAGGACTTTGAAGATTTGCTGAGTTTCTTCTTCGAAATTAAAAGTCCCCCAAATGTTTTTTCTGGCAACAAAATCATGTATTCTCTTTGTATAAATTGTGGCTCTGAAAGTGCATACTTGTTTCTACGAGAACTTGAGCGTACAGGTTTCAAGCCTGATGAAGTAACCTTTGGGATTTTGATCGGTTGGAGCTGTCGTGAGGGAAATCTTAGAAATGCGTTTATTTATTTGTCGGAGTTATTGTTGAGAGGCTTAAGACCAGATTTACATTCATATAATGCTCTCATCAGTGGGATGTTGAAGGATGGCCTTTGGGAAAGTGTCCGAGGCATTCTTGACGAAATGGCAGATTGGGGTACTAAGCCTAATTTATCGACTTTCAAAATTCTTTTAGCAGGCTATTGCAAAGCTAGACAATTTGATGAAGCAAAAAAGATAGTTCTCGAAATGGAAAAATGTGGTTTGATTCAACTTTCTTCAATAGATGATCTATTATGCCTAATATTTTCTTTCTTGGGGTTTAATCCCTCAGCAGTGAGGTTGAAAAGAGACAACAATGCTGGTATTTCTAAAACCGAGTTCTTGGATACTCTTGGAAATGGACTGTATTTGGAAACTGATGTGGATGAATATGAGAAAAGGCTTACCAAAGTTCTAGAAGAGTTTATATTACCTGATTTTAACTCGCTTATAATGGATGAGTGCAAAAATGGAGACAGTAAAGTTGTATTAAGGTTGGCAGCCGAAATGGTTCGATGGGGGCAAGAACTAACTTCGGTAGGTTTGATGGGTTTATTTAAAAGCCACTCTAATTTGAGTTCCATAATCAAGCCTATCACTGAAGTTTGGGAGAAAAGACCAGATATGATTGCTGAATTAGGAGCAGACACCTTGAATTTAATTGTGCAAGCATACAGCAAAAACAAGTTGACTTCTAGTGCAATTGGAATACTAAATGAGATGATCCAAATGCATGTCGAAATCGAGAAAGAAACATACACAGCTCTGGTAAATAGTTTGTGCAAAACAGAAAACTTAAGGAAACTTCTTGGCTGTTGGGATAGAGCTCGAGAAGCTGGTTGGGTTCCAGGGCCGCATGACTGTAAATCACTTATGAGCTATCTTTGCAAGAAAGGAAAATTCAATGAAGTTTTCTCCCTCCTTGAAACCATGTTGGCATCATATCCACATTCGAGGTTGGATATAATTCATATATTCCTCAAAAGGCTTTCAGAAGCAGGGTTCGCTGCAATTGGTCGAGTATTGGTTGAAGAACTTATGTCTCGTGGATTATATTTGGATCAAAAGTCATATGAACTTCTTATCATTGGATTATGTAAGGAGAACAATACTTCAATAGCAATCAATATATTGGATGATATAATGGCGACGAGTATGGTTCCGTGCATTGATGTTTGTCTTTTGTTAATTCCTACATTATGTAAGGCTGGTAGATATGAAACCGCAATTGCATTAAAAGAGATCGGAACTACGAAGCTATCATCTTCTTCGCTTAGAGTGTTTGGTGCACTAATGAAAGGTTTCTTTACGACGGGAAAGGTTAGAGAAGCATTCACTCTATTCCAGGATATGTTGTTGAAAGGTCTTTCTCCAGATGCTGAGATTTATAATCTTCTAGTTCAAGGGCATTGCAAAGTGAAAAACTTTGACAAAGTGCGGGAGCTACTCGGTATTATAATAAGGAGAGATTTAAGCCTTTCGATATCAAGTTATAGGAAATTAGTTTGTTTGATGTGTATGGAAGGAAGAAGTCTCCAGGCATTGTATCTAAAGGACCTCATGCTTAGACACGATGAATCTCATGACCGTGTTATCTATAACGTTTTAATTTTTTATATTCTTCGAAGCGGGAATAGTATGCTTGTAGGTGAAATTCTGGATGAAGTATCACATAAGAGGAAGTTGTTACTTGATAAGGTCGCCTATGATTTTCTCATATATGGATTTTCTCAGTGCAAAGACTTTTCAAGTTCCACATTATATCTCTTCACCATGATCCATCAGGAGTTTCGTCCCAGCAATCGAAGCTTGAATATCGTAATTAGCCACCTTTGTGATATTGGAGAGCTCGAAAAAGCTTTGGAGCTAAGTCGAGAAATGGAATCAAGGGGATGGATTCTTGATTCAGCTATACATAATACGATTGTGGAGTGCCTCATTTCATATGGTAAGCTTCAAGAAGCAGAATGTTTTCTGGAGCGAATGGTCGAGAAGTGTCTCGTACCCGAACGTGTAGATTACAATAACATAATCAGACAATTTTGTCGGAATGGAAGATTGTCGAAGGCAGTCGATCTTATAAACGTAATGCTTATGAAAGGAAACACCCCAAATGCTACTAGTTATGATTCTGTCGTTCATTGTTGCTGTAACTGCAACAAGTTAGAAGAAGCCGTAGATTTCCATACCGAGATGTTGGACCGGTGCCTGAAGCCACGCATCGAGACATGGGATAAACTCATTTTTTCGTTTTGCAGAGAAGGGAAAACAAGAGAAGCAGAAAGGGTTTTGATGAGAATGTTGGAGATGGGCGAAACGCCGAGCAAGGATGCATACTGCTCTATGCTGAACAGATATCACCACGAAAATAATCTCGAAAAGGCATCAGAGACGGTGCGAGCAATGCAGCAAAGTGGTTACGAGTTGGATTTTGAGACACAATGGTCTCTCATAAGCAAACTAAGTGATGCCACCCTCAAGGACAGCAACAGCAATAACAATAATAAAGGTTTTCTCTTGGGACTTCTTTCCAAGAGCGGATTTTCTCGGGAATTGATTCGTTAGCAAAGCCAATACGAAGATTGAGAAGGTTATCCTTGTTCACTTTTGTTATAAATTGGTGTTTTTTTTTTTTCTTTTTAAAGCTTAGTTGTCTAGAATAATTGTCCATAGAAATCAAGAGGAGAAGTGGTATCAAAGGGTTTGGTGAAAGTTTTATGGACATCAAATCTCCAAGAAAGGTAAATATAGACTAATATTGCAGTCAAAGGTTTGCTATGGGGCATTTGATTTGGGGGAAGGAATAACAGATTTTTTAATGCACAATGGTTTGATTTCACAAAATTAAATAAATGCAGCCATGTGGAGTTGTCTTCCAACGGTTTTCAAAAGTTTTTCCTTTTATGAATTAAATTTTTCTAGGTTGGAACTCTTTCTCTCTGAGAAGAAGCCTATGTATTTGTTATTTTATTATTATTGGAATATAAATATTTTATTCCATTCAAATCAAGTCCCATATTAAAAAACATCTTGATTTTTTTTTAATTATTATATGTCTAGATCTTCTCTACAAACCACAGTTCATATAAAGTTTACTCCTAGGTAGGATTAACTTCCAAATAATTGAAAGTTATTTCAAATCAGCCGCTCACACCAGCTTAAACCCTAAACCTCCATCGTCGGAGAGAGAGAAGAGAGAGAGAAAATGGAAGGGATCAATGGATTGGTGAAGAAGGCTTGAGAAGATATGGAATTTTCTGCTGGTGGTGGAGCAATCAATTGGTTTCCCGGGCATATGGCGGCAGCAATGCAAGCCATTCGCGAGAGACTGAAGCTGGCGAATATGGTGATCGAGGTCAAAGAGGCCCGCATTCCCTTGTCGCCAGCGAACCAAAACCTTCAGCCTCAACTTTCTTCTAACCGCCGCATCATCTCCCTCAAAAAGAAAGATTTGGCTAACCCCAATATCTTGTATGTAAGAGAGCACTTTGATCATTCTGTTTCATTTGATTATATTTCTATCTCTTGTATTTGGAAGTTTTAATTCTCAGTTCAGAAATAGGTAGAGAATGGACAGTGGTGGGCCTTTATCATGGGAAGTACTTCTCTTCTCCTCTGTATGTGTGTGCATTCTCAATCATTTTTTATCAAGTCATAGCTCTACATTAGAGGAGAACTGTCTTTGTTTGGTTGTCTATTGATTGTAAATATCGACATTAGTTTCAAGTGCTGAATGCTCTTTAAATCAATGGTAAAATTTGAAGTTTTTACTGTCATGATTGGTTTCATGGTATATCTGTTGAGTATGGTTTAGGCTTGAGTAAGGGTCCAAGTACCTCAAATTACTTGGGAGTTATTATACTTTTTTACCTTTTATATTTCAATATCTTGTTAGTTGTTCGGGTTCTATCATATTGCATCATTATATTGATATTGACTATATCACTGAATCTCCTTATAAGACTGATGCTATACCTTTTTAACATGGAAGCAGGATCTGTGAAGGATGCGATGGTGGGCGAGGAGCGTATTGCTCAATATCTACTGGCTGTTTTGAATACTCGGGGGACTTTTCTCCATTGGAGGCAGTTGAATAACAGAAGAATGGAGGGTATTCAATATGAATCAGAAGAAGGGCACAGATTTAATCTTAATGACCTCCGGCCAAAAAGGAGGGCTCCTCCAAGTCTGATGTGGTGTACATAGAGGTGGACTTTAATAAATTGTGGTTTACAAGAAGAGGGAGGAAATTGCAGATTTAAATTGTTTACAAGAAATTGAGAAAGACATGAAGTGTTGCTCTGTTGGTGTGTGGTTGGCCTAATAGTCACCGGTATAATGAAAAAGGAAAGGGACTTAAAAGAGAATGAGCGTTCAAAACCCTATGCTGGTCACCTACCTTGGGTATTGAAATTCTTGACAACCAAATGTCGCATGATCATGCAATTATCTAGGTGAGATATGTCAATATGTGATATGTGTGCAAGGTAGCTTGGATACTCACGGGTTTATAAATTATTGTTATGGGGCTTTCTCTTAGCGGTTGATGCTTATGGCTCAAAATGAGCAAATTAGTTGGACTTCAGTCTACAAGTTGGGATTCAATCCTTGTTGTTCCACTTTCAAAAAACTTGAAAAGCGATGACTATGGATGCCTTTAATCTTTACCTGCAAAAAAATATCCTATCTCCTCTTTCATCCACTACTTGGGGGTCTATAACCTTTATTGGGCTATAACCTTTATTTTAAGATGTCCTTATTTGACATAGGGGGTGGTCTAGCTACCATCTCTTTCGTCCATGATTGCTCGGTTTTTGTACCTCTCTTTTGTTGTACTTACATTCCTCTCAACGAAAGCCGGTTTATTAACCAAAAAGAACTGTATACTTGTTTCTCGTTTCGTTTGTTCAGGATCTTGTTATCTAAGTTCAACGCGCACCGTATGAAAGTCTGTCAGAATTTGATGGTAATGTAGAAGATGAGAATGATTTAGAAAGTGTTACCGAACTGCAATTCGAAGCATTGCAGAAATCGATGAAGATACCTCATCCGGCAGTGGAAGCTCGCTTGAAAGTATCAAAGAAACTACTAACTCTATTCGTGGCAGGTAAGCTTGGTCCATTCATCCTTGATGATGTCCCCACCTTAAAATCTTCACCTTTAAATTCTTAGAAAAATAAACATCTCTCGTCTTCAGTAGGTGGCCTTACTGTAATGATATTTTTACAGTAAACCCTAAACCCTAAATTTTTAGTTTAGCTTTTGTAAATTAAATCGTTCTACTAACAGGACACCAAAGTATTTTGATTGTTAAGAAAATTTTGCGTGAGTTCTAATTACTATTTATTTTTTGAACAGCAGCATTTGATATATTTCTTTCTTTTGATGGAAGAAAGCAGTGATACAAATTATTCTATTAATTTACTTAATTTTTTTTGTGTATCTATTTCGGTTTTGCAGAAAGCTGACTTAAAGTTGCAGAGAAAATACACTAGAATCTAAAATATGAAACGCAGAATAGGTATTATTCTACTTGTGATTGTGAATTGCCCTTTCAACCATAGAATTACAATAATTGGAGCTATTAGCTCTTAGTTTATATGTGATAGTTTGGTTACATATGTTACTTACAGTTATTTTTCTGCTTTGTCCTGCCATTAACATAAGATCTTTTGCAACATCAGAAACTTAGTTCGTTAGCATTTCGAGGTTTTGGCTTGATGAGAATTCTTCGGGAGTTCTATTCTTGATGGTGGCATAGCGAGTTTCCTTGGTTTTGAATTTTGAGTATGGAACTTGGCATTAACAGGGCAAGATTTTGGTTTCTTGATCAATGGAAACCAAGCTTATATGGTATAAATTACTACAATGTCAAACTTAGTCTTTATGCGATTACTAAGAGATGAAAATTTGTGCCGATGTGTTAGACTTAGTAGGTTATCGTGATCTTTAGTATATTTTAAGACTCATATCACTATTTTATCGTGTATCTTTAGTATATCTTAAGACTCGAATTAGTTTAACAATCTATGTCACTAGATTACGGTGTTATCTTTAGCATACCTTAAGACTTAGATTAGCTCAATGGTTCCGTGTCACTAGGTTATTGTGTATTTTTAGCGGATACTGAGACTCAGGTTAGCTCAATGGTCTACACGTAGGTTATTGTGTATCTTTAGTGTATCTTAAGATTTAGATTAGCTCGATGATCTACGTGTCATAACTCCAAAGCCTTGCATGGTTTTTGCAATAGTTATCTCACTTGACGATGACAATGAATATATACATAATTATTTTGTATCACTTCGATGCGAAAGCATAAGGTATACTAGAAATATGTTCTTGTATTATTCATAGGTTGATAGAAATGGAGTGAGCTGAATCATCAAGCTTTCCTCCCCACTTCTTTGGACTTTTGTTGAGAAACTTTAATTGGTATTGGTGCATACTCGACTTATAAAGGTTGTCAAAGTGAACATAGTTCGACGGTAATTGGCATGTAACTTCAATCAAGAGGTTGTGAATTCGATTCTCCACCTCTACATGTTGTACTACAAAAAATCATGAGATATGAAGGTTCCGACACTTTTCTGAGTTTTAGTGGACAAATTGTTGCTACAATAATTATTTTACAGCAGGGAACTAATGGGTCCTTGTTAGGCTCGAAGCAATGTATTACATTTTCATCTTAAATGAGAGTTCTCAATGGAATAGGTGAATGTATCGAACGCGTTTTATTTTTTTTTTAAATGATATAATGAAATTGTCAATGTCGAATCCTAATTCATACATACGAAAATGTTGGACAGAAAATATCAACAATGAAAATTTAATACCTTGCTTAGAATTTACAAGTACTCTTTAGTATATCTTAGTGCTAACCCTTCTTTGTTCAATACCTTCATTCATTCTCCCAAATTGCAAAAGTACCAAACGAAACCTTCTCGTCTACAAGTTGTCTATGTTTCGAACCATGTTTTCTCTATTACACGCTCGCAAACTTTCAGCATCCAAATAACTAAACGAATAAAATCCAATTGATTTAAAGCATCTATCTTGATCATAAATCTCCCTATCTCTACTTGTACCTTTAAAATGAAATTTGTTACTATAGTTAGCTCAGATTGGTTAATATTGAGTGATATAACTAAAAAATATTAAAATATAAGAGACCTAATTAAATCAAATACACTTAAAATTAGGACTAAAATATATAGTTAACCAAAATCAGATATATTTGTGAACATTCAAGTCACTTTCAATATTTGTATGTGGACATTATATGTTCTCTTTCATCCGATATATTCCTTTTATTTTCAATCCTCACCACCAAAATAGGAACAAACAATTAATTAATATTTTAATATTTTATCAATTTTTTGCAATACTATGAAAATGTTGATTCACTCCTTATATCAATGTTAAACCCACGAGTATATGTAAATGTCCACATATCAACGGAAATTTAATACCCTAGTTCTCACGCTAATCATCGAACAATGAATTCTCATATATTATCGAAGTAATCGAACCTTATTCATCCAAAAACCAAAGTCAAGGAATTTGAGGACGAACAATAGGAGTCACCCCCTTAAATGAATGTCTGTTCTGCACATGATTAGTGTTTTTTTTGTTTTTTTGGCCCTTTTCTCAACTCTGTATCTAAAATCTACAGTATAAATTGAATGTTACAGGACATGAAAATATTTTAAGGCATTTTTCCACTTGGCTTATTAGGTCAAATGAAGCAAAATTGAAGCAGAAGATCTGAAGGCAATAATTTTACAACCTCATTTGTTCGACTCGATAAATTCCCTGTACTCGCTCTTCATTTTGACTCCAGGTATATTCCTACATAAGAACCATAGAACAAAATATTGATGAGAGCTACCCTAGCAAAAATGTCATGTCAAGTACTTCATGAGATGATCATTTCGACCAAAAGATTAGAGGTTCAAATTCTCATAAAAAGAAAAAGGAAAAACAAAAAACTCCATTAGATGATCACATGATCACAAGTCGCCAAGAGTCCAGAAGTAAATCCTCACATAGTAACGAAAGTTGTAGAGATTGAAGAGGAAACCTTGTTTTGAAATCATTCAAATTTAGTTTCTTTCTAAAAATCACTTATTTATTTATTTATTTATCTCGATATCTAATTTACTTCCAAATATGTTAAAATTAAGGACCAAAGCAAATGTTTCGAAGGTACAAAGACTAAAAGAGACAAAAGTTTAAAGTACAAGGACAAAAAAAAGGACAAAAAATGGACGCTTCAAAACTGACCAAAATGAACAAAAATGGAGATGAAAATAGTATTTCTTAATATAGTCATAAATTTATATTAAAGGATTTCCGTTGTGCATAAAATTTGTGTAAAAAATTTGTAAATAGATATTAAATTGGTCACGTTTTAAAAGTATAGGAACCAAAACACACGTTTTGAAAGTACCAGAACTAAAATAAACAAAAGTTGAAAATACAATGATCAAAATGAACATTTTGGAACTACAGGAACCAAAATAAATCAAAGCTAGAAAATAAGATGCTGAACCAACCTGATCATCTCCTTATTTTTGAAGAACTGCACGCAGGGAGTACCCATAATCCCAGCTGCTTCTGCTATTTCTTGGTCTTCCTCAATATCAATTTCAACAAAATGTACATTTTGATCAAATTCATCTATCACCTGGAAGATTAAGTTCATGAAGGCTAAGCATCAATATTAGTCATTGGACATTATCATCAACAAAATAGAACAGAAGATATAAGTGGACTTATCATCAAGCATGTCTGAAACAAACAGCAAATTATCCCATAAGCAAAACCACAAAACTGGAAAGCCGCTGGAGATATAACCATATTATCGAAAAGTAAAACCAGCATCTAACTGCTGCCCGAAAGACATAACTTTGAAGGAGAAGAC